AACCCAAACTCCATCTTTCTCTCTCTAAAACTCCATCCCTGTCTGAAACCCAAACTCCATCTCTCTCTTTCTAAATCTCAATCTCTCTCTCACATATAAGAAGGTGTGCTCGTGTTCGAGCTCAAGCTGTTTACCCCTTAGTTGGTAAACTCATCAAGAAGTGAGAGAGAGATGATGTTTTAGAGAGAGAGAAATGGAGTTTGAATAGGGTGTCATTTTAGTATTTGTATGGGGGGTTGTAAGATAGAAAAGATGGAGACCTTTTGCTTACAAGCATTATTTTCAATTCTTGTGTCTCATCAGATATGGAAGTTAAAAATAGGGGATAAGGAGATATTTTCCCATATTTATATATATTGCCTTTATATTCCCAAGCATATGAAGTAGTAGTTATTTTCTTTGTTTAAATAAAATTAGTTTAGTGGCATCAAAGTTTTAAGATCTTGGTTTTATTTTTTTTTGAAGCATGAGTTATTGTAATAAGACTACTTGTAAGTGATCTTTGTCAAAATATAAGAGACGAAAAATAAAAATATATATACCCCGACAAGATCATATTAGTCTTTGTTTCACTTTCTTATATTATATACATGCTATTATACTCGCAAAAGGATGAGATAAGCTTCATAAAAGCATAAATTATATTGTCATACGGGTCATAATTCTCACTTATAAGTTAGGTTCCTCATCCATCCCAGCGTATGACTTTAAGTTAATTAATTATGCGTTCTACAATGTATTCTCTTTCCGCTCTATTTTCATCACCGTCCGACACATTAAATTGACAGGTGATGAGTCCTATGATTATATAGTTCATGCAATCATATCTATCATAATCTACCTACCCAATAAGCATCCATGTGAAGCATTTGTCACGTGCAGGAGTAGGAGTCACCAAATTTATATCTAGCTTGGCCTGGCATGGACTAGGGCCTCCTTAGCCTTGTTCCGGCAGCGCCGGCCTTGGGCCAGCCCTATAGGGAACAAGGCTGAGCCGGGGCCAAGCCCGTTGTCAGCGTTACGACGAATTAGCCATAAAGTAGATTGTAAATAGCCATTTGAAAATGGTCTTTCTGGATTTGATGATTGCAAGTTATATTTGTCAGGAGATGTTAGATCTGGCACACAATTTTTTAAATTGTACAGAATTTGAAATCAAATAAATCTCCTAAGTAATTTTTAAATCCATCCAATACCTTTTTTCTTTTGTAAACTGGATCGGTCCGTATCACTGCATTTTCGCTCTCATAAAATAATTTGTTTGCAAGTTTTTTTCCAAATTTTTTCACAATCTTATTTTCTAGTTTAGTGTTAAACTACTCGGGCGAGCCGACACAGACTCACCCAAGTAACTCGGGCTTGCCACCTTTGCGAGCCTGAGTATCTAGAGTTTTGGTGATCAAGCTCGAGATCTTAAAAATATATATATATATTTCAAAAAAATTATTAAAAATCCAAAATAAAAAATGTTTTTATAACATGCTTTTCTATGTTTTCTATACTTTCGGCGAAAATGGGGAAGTGCTTTGGTCATGAATATTTATTTTTACATCTCTCTCTTCTTTTTTGAATTATTTCTATAATAACTTTGGTCACAAATTGATATTTTAAAAATCTATTTTTCACTACTTTTTTTACCTCATTTATTTTTACCTTATTTAGATTTGTTTTGTTCAATTTTTTTTAAAATAAATTTTTCATATTTTTGACATTTATTTTCCTGTTTTATTTATCATTTTTTTGCCTGACCAAGACTTGCTGAACTCGGACCAAGTTACCCAAACTCAGCACGGCTGAGGCCCGGGTTCAGGGCCTAGTCATGCTTTCCTACACTGTTCTAGGTGCATAAGAGCGTATGGGACGAAATTTGGGTCGAAATAAATGCCCGTAAAGCACCTAAAATGGAAGGGAGTTTGACATTATAGAAGTCTGCCTTTGGGCGGACCACGCCTTCTCCAAAAATAAAATATGATCCAAGTGGTCATCATGTACCCACCATCTCGATTATCACCACATGCCGTGCACGCTGTTAACATTTGAAAGAATAAAAAAACAAAAAAAATTTATTTGACATTTTATTTATCTTATTGAAACAAGTATATGTTTAATTTTTTCGTTTGCATTTGATGATTGCAAGTATTTTATTAATAATGACTATGCTACAAAACATATGAAACCTTTCCACTCTGATTCCTCCTCCAATAACAGTTATTGATTGCTTCACTCTTACTTCCATATACAAGGAACCAAAAAATAAAACAATCATAAGAAAGGGAGAGATGAAGACATTGGTTATTTGAACAACGCACTGAGAAATAGTCAGCATACTCTATATTTTAAATACATTAAATTAAAGCGAAAAGCCTCACTAAACTGCCACGTTCAGTTTAATAGAATTTCAGGGTAGAAAGCATATTATGCACTAAACAGTGATGTATAGTGTACGGTACATCACTGGGGTGTCCACTATATACCACTGATTATAGTGTACGGTAATCACTGGGTTGTCCACTACATACCACTGATGTATAGCATCTGCTGGCGATAAACACAAAGCTTAAATAGCGTACATATTATTTGACTCTATAGCCCATATTTTGTAAGGAAAATTGTTTCATGCCGGTTGGACAAGGGGTATAATGCATCCATCTTATGAATGCAAATAGGTGTTTTATCTGAAAACAAGTGTAACTAACGGTTCAAGTATTTTTTTAATATAATTATTGTTTCTCATTAGATCAAGTGAGATATTGACCATTTGATATAGATTCGACACTTCAAATTATTTTATTTTTCATTTGTTTTTAGAAATTATATGAATATAAAATTTGGTTAGTGCCATCATCTCAATGGGCACACTCAAAAAAAGTATTAAAAAAATATTTTCAATAAAATTCAATGATGAAAATACCCATAAAACTTTTATAGACATTTTAGTTATTTTATTTTTTTTGAAAATATTATTTTTATACTTTTTTATAGTTGCGAGTTTTAGAGAGAAATGAACGCCTAAAATTTGGTGATAAAATATTTTATAGAAAAATATTAAATATAAAATAGCATAGAAACGTAATATTATAATTTGAATCATCTCAGCCATCCATTCAAAATAAAGGTTAGATAGGAAAAAGTATATAAATTTTATACAGTAGGGTAAATATGGAAAGCTCGCCCTTTAATCTGGGCCGGGGACTTCACGATATAACTTGGAATTTTTGCGGACTTTGCTTTCTTCAATCTTCAAAGTTGAAAGAAACCCGTGACTTGCATAAATGAAAACGAAGGACTTTATGAGGGCTTACAAGGGTTGCATTCTAAGGCTCTCTCACTCTTCATATATCTCTTGGCTCTCTCACTCTTCATATATCTCTTGAGGTTGCATTCGAAGAATTCTCTAGTTGAACTCATTGAACTCACTCTCTATATATATATATATATATTAGTTGGATGACGTTTATTGCACATAAATATTAAACAAGTGATCACATAAATAACTGGGTAACCATGCAATGGAGAGTACATAGAAATATAATGAGTAAACAAGCGATCAAATAAATAACTGTGTAACGATGCAATGGAGAGTACATAGAAATATAATGAGTATCATCAAAATATGGTGGCATCCAAATATGGTTTATGGGCATGCATACATAAGCATTGCATTCACACATGCACATATATGACAATTTCGAAAACATAGATATTTTTTTTAAACGAATTTTCATTTGTATTTTTAAAATCCTTAATAAAATAGGCTTATGGTTACGGATGAAATTTTAAAGATTGGAAATATTAAAATTGAATCAGTTTAAAACCAATTTTCTACTTTGAAAATTGTAATTAGAAAGAAAATTTCATAAATATTCTTCAATCCAGAGAGAAACTTTAATTGACAAACACATAAATGCACATACGATAGAGAGTACTTCCTAGCACGTACAACTATATAACTCCAAATATCATCCGTGAGTTTTTTTTATAAAATTATCACACAACTAATGAATCAATTGCTGAAGCACATGTAAGCATTAAAATCTCATCTTTATGACATGGTAGTGAGTTAACGTGTCTTCGAGGTATGAAGAATATATATATATATATATATATATATATGTGGTGAGCCTACTAGCTCACAGAATAGTAAGTCCAGATTGAATCTGAGCCGATTTGACGGTAAAAAGTATTTAAATTTTAATTTTTTTTCTACAAATTCAAATTACTTGAAATTCTAGGTGAATAATCTTCTCATCAAGCCGCACCTAATTAAAATATAAAAAACATAATCCACAAAATTAAAAATGACCAAAATAACTCTGAAATTTATAGGGGTATTTTGGTCATTTTTTCATGCAAAATATTTTTCAAATATTCACTATTTTTAATCGACACACATCTAAAATTTCAAGTGATTTGAATTTACAGAAAATAAAGTAAAATTCATACACCTAATAAAAATAAAAAAAATAATTCGTAAAATATAAATAGACAAAAATACTCCCATAAATTTTAGGGGTATTTTGGTCAATTTTTATTTTACAAATTATTTTTTTCATATTTTTATTAGGTGCATCTCACTAAGATGTATACATGCTCCAAAATTCAAATAATTATGATTTGTAGAAAAAAAAACTGAAAATTGAAATACTACCAGACAACTGTAACTATGTGATAAAGTTTGGATGGTGATGAGGGTAGGTGAAATCACTTCTCATTGTCGCCTATATACCTTGAAAAGAGTTATATATATATATATATATATATTGATTTTCTAGTTTTAACCTCCAAAAACAACAAGTTCAAGTTAAAATAAGTTGGAACCGCATTTCTACTTTTATTGCCCCTATACTATTTGAACACCAAAACCTATTGTAGTGCATTTGTGACTTTTACTTCGAAATTGAAAAAACGAGTTCAATGAGGTAAAATTTGAATTTCAAAATTTAAAGCTCATCTCAATCTCTTCTCTCTCGCATGCCTTTTTATTTATCTCTCTCCTTGTTGTCCCCCATCTTCTCTCTCTTCATCTCTTGCCTTGCCCTCCCCAGCCCTCTCTTTCTTGATAAAAAAATTGCCAAATTGCCGGCACAAATGGAAGTACTGTTCATGCATAAGGAATTTTTTCTTTTTCTGGTGAGATTTTGGTAGCTTTATTTGGGTAAGATTTTGGAGCTTTTTTTTATGGTGAAAGATATGAGATTTTGGTAACTTTCCGTATTTTTGTTTTTTGGGTGAGATTTTGGTAGGTTTTATTTTGACTTGAGATAGTCGCCTCTCTCTCTCCTTGCTGAGGCCACCATTTCTTTTTGGCATTTTTTTTACAGATAGACACCTTCCCTTTTACGTAGAGAAAGCCCTAATTTTCCACCTTCATGTGATCCCAACTATGAAGATCTCTAATCATACCAAGTACGAATGCCACACTCAATGCCATTTCTTTTCTTTTTTTTTTGTTTTAGTTTTGGGATTTTTTTTCTAGAATTTACTTTGTTGATCTATGTGTTGATTGATTTGTTGGTGTAGGGTTCTATCTTCATTTTGATTTCTCACTGTATTTGGGTTGGTTGATTTATATGTTGACTGATTTGTTGGTGTATGGTTCTTTCTTCATTTTGATTTTCATTGTATTTGGATTTGTTCAGGAATTCTGAAATTTCCACCCATCGAGTGCAGTTTATTATACATAAAAAAGAAGTAACAAATAAGAGATGACCTTCTCCCAAAATAGAAGTAATCGTCTCCAAGTATAGGCATTCAATTTATGATACCTTGGTCACTTACAAATCTGTGATGTTCCCTTTATAAAAACCTGATTCTTTTGTTGCCAGCAAAGGCTACGTAGGTAACTTATTGCTCCAACGAATTTCATTTTCTTTTTTCAGTTATATCTCATCTTGAATAAGTTTCTGTCACAAAGTTCTTTCATGGCTTGGTTTCTTTTGAATCCATATTTACTTGCTACTTAAATAGTGATATCTTCCTAGAAGAGCTTGGCCTTATAAATTCAAGAAATGATTATTTTCATTTTATTGCAGAGTCCAAATGTTTGAAAATATGCCCCAGCCATTTTTCATGTTTTGATTCCATTTTTTCTTTGATTATGCACTTCTTTTCATACTTAAAGGATTAAATTTTGGATCAAGTGAATGATTTATTGTTATTTTCAGTATAATAATTATCAGATGACAGGAAAGGCCGGAGTAATGGTTTTGTTTATTTGATGATTTCTTGTTCTTTTCATAGCTAAAGGATTAAATTCTATTGAGTAATGGTTTTATTTGTTTGAACTATTCCCTGCCTTGCTAGACTTGAAGAATTAGGATCATGATTTGGGAGATTCAAAACTTACTCTACGTATTTTGAATGGGGAACTGTATGGGATGGTGAGAGTACAACCTTTTGTTTGAAGTTGTGGTGATGAAGATATTTGGTTTCAAAGCCATAAAGTAGAAGGCATGAGAGCTTCTCACTCATGTATTTTCAAGGCCAAAAAATATTCTTGATAGAGACAGAGAGATGGAACAATGTTGTAATCATATAATTCAAATTTGAAGTTTATGCAAGCAATGCTAATGGAGATCTCACTCTCTCTCTCTCTCTTAAATTTTAAAACAATTGATGCATTTTATCTTGTACCTACATGAATAAAGTTTTTCTTATTCAATATGAAGTTGTGTTTTGACCCTCTCTCTCTCTCTCTCTTTTTATATGCCATTGTTGGAAGATATGTTTCTTCATCATGGGCCCCTGGCTCAATAAAAGCCTAGCAAACAGTGGAAATCTCGACAGTCTCAGAATAGCTCCAGAACTGGCCAAGATCTTCATGAAGTCTCTCAAAAGTATCATGCCAAGTTTCGTCATATTTCGACATGTCTAAGGCAGTGCAAACTAAGAAACAATTCCGGCAAAATCGACCTCTAGCACTTTGAAACGACCCCTTTAATTAGAGCTACATTTTTGGTGTCTCAAATTGCTGTGAGACCATCATCATTGGATCCGACACGATTAAAAACACCCAGGGGGTAAATTTCAGCTCGAACGTACACTCCAAGAAAAAGTTATAGGGAAAAGAGTGGAACAGAAGGAGCCGCACGCTATTCCTGTACGGCCACCTTGCAACTCCACACCATTGAAGGGACAATCACGAACAGTGATTGCAACGTTCATATGTCACCCGTCTCAAGTCGGATCGCACTCAAATTCAGTGAGCATGTTCTCAAGACGAGCGATTCAATATATGGTATGTCCCGTGACGACACCCGAGCACTACGAAAAGCTAGAGAGAAGTCGTTGATCTATGAAGAAAGTGCAGAAAATTCAGCAGCATCGTGCGTCGCTCGAGCGATCGAATCATGTCGCTTATGAGCCCGATCGACACGTGATCTATTCTATCGCAAGTGTAAGGTCTCGGGCCATCTCTGACCTGAACCCCATACATGATGAATGGTCGGATTTCGCAAACGAAGCCGACGAAGACACTGCAAATTCTGTTATCGAAATTCCATTTTCTGGCCAAAATTTCAAAGTTGTAAAATTTTCGTTCGGGCAAGGAATAGAGCTACGTTTGTTGCCCCGCGATCGTGATGACATGCTCAATGTACTCTAGCGAAGAAATCATAGAAAGACATCAAGGAACGAGCACACCATCTATCCAAAGTTTCAAGATTCAACCAAAATTCAAGTCACATGGTCGTGCCCTAAAAACACGATTTATGACTCAAAGTTGGTATCAAATCGATTGCCATGTCGAGCCTTACAAGAAAACAATCATCTTTCGATTAGCTGGGCATCAGAATGATCCCAGATCATCCATGCATGATCACGCAAGTACTAGGGCAACAAAGGGACTGTTCTGGAATTCCACAAATTGTTAGAAAGGGGCAAATCTGTCATTTTGCACCGTATTTTCTAATTTCTTTTAATTCAATTTAATCTTAATTTCCAATAATTAGGGTTACTTTTGATCATCTACCCATGTTTGGGACAAATTCTATATATATGTATCATCGTTGTACACAAAAAGAGAGAACATACACTCAATCCCTCATAAAAGAGAGAGTTTTTACTTAATACAGTTTATCTTCTTACCATTGTTGGGTCACGTTTGGAGAGAGAGAGCAAGGTGAAAGAAACTTTTGATCAGTACCCTTAGGCTTGAGGTAGATCTTCTCTCTCTTCCTTTTCTTTTCTTCTCTCTCTTCTTCTTCTTTTTCTTCTTCTCTTTCTTCTTCCTCTTCCTCGTCTGAGTTTCTCTCAGAGGCCATGCACGGTAATGGCAATGTCGTGCATGCCTCTCTGGTGGTCTCATAGGTCGCGCATGGCGATGGCAGCACCATGCGTAAGCTTCTCTCTTCTTATGTTCTCTCTCCCAGCAAGGCGTGTAGACGGCGCTGCTCATCGTCATCCGCAGACATACCCTCGGTGTCTCAGTGAAGAACACAGATGGCGAAACTCGTTACCGCCTGCAGGGGACTTCCTCTGTTACGCGTGTAACGTCAACGACAATACCTATCGCTGCCCTCTAGAGGTCTTGACAACACTTATCGCCGTCTGTGAGCTTCCTTCGTGTGCTGGTGCCCATCGCCATCCACGAGCCTCCTCCGTGAGTTCGGTGCTCGTCGTCGCTCCTCCTGCGTCCCATGACTGTTGTCGTGTGCCTCATGAGAACTATCATCATGTGCTCCATGAGAAGTTATCGCTGCCCTCGTAAGGGCGTGTTCCCTTCTTATGATGCCATTTACGATGCCCATTGCCGCCTCGGTTTTTCTTCCTTCACTCTTTTCTCTCCTCACTTGACTGAGGGTAGACTTATCCTAGCACCGCCATATCGGTCTCGGTTTAAAGTAGTATTACCACAGTGTTGATCTCGAGAACCATGCTCATCTTGCTACCACTCTAAGTCGATAGCTTTCTGGCCATCATGATAGTCATGCCCCTTTGTCAAGTTTTTTTCTCCTTTCTCTCTTTATTGGAACCTTCCATTTCATCACTCCCTCATTTGAGCGTACAATTCCCTAAGACAAGGGTGGGTCGCTTTGACCCACTTGTCTTGCCAATTAACCATAGAAGTGTTGTGCAGAAAACAAGAGGATTGCAGGACAAGGGAGGCGATTTCGAACCAGCTAAAGCAGCTAGGGGGCTTTCTTCGTGATCTAAGAGGGCGCCCACGTGAGCTAGCCCGAGTAAGTCCCCAACCCACCTTAAATTCATCTCTTATCGGTTGGTACACCTGTCCTTGTTCTTAAACAAGGTTTTGGGAGAGCGATCTCAAATCTCGGGTTCGCTAAAAACCCGAGATATGTGCTACCCGATCATCTAGATCCGAAAGGTAAGATCGAGGCACCTAGCCAGCTTGGCGACTACACTGGGGACTTACTACCCCTTAGTCGGTTCGCTCTTGTTTGACTAGTATCCTCTTTTACTTTCTGCATTACTTTTTATGGCACCTGGATTGTTCATCCCGTTCATCTGAGTCATGGATTTTCTCATCCCCGCACTCGTGACTATCCCAAGCAAGTAAACTGCTCAAGCTTTCCTCCCTACTCTCCTTCTGAGTCAGGACTCGAGGTCCAGCTCTCAGGTTCTTGCCTAGGTTAGCACGAGAGGGGATTTAAAAGTCCTTGACTCCTCGCTTCCTCACCTTGGTGGACCCTCCACCAAGGCCCCCTGCATCGGTGGTACGCCTGCCACTGTACACAGTAGGCACTCTGCTACTGGCAAGTCTCTTGTCGTCATATTACTGAGGCACGCCGGAAGGCTGCCCTAACCGCTTTCATGGGAGGTAAGCAAGTTGTTGTCGCTCCTGAGGTTCACCGTAAAGCAACCCCCCATGCTCCTTCATCACTTCGGACCTCTACATTTAGAGGCTCGACACACCAAGGCAGAGACCCTACGGCCTCCACCCCTCGCACACACCCAAGGGCTCGTGATCCATCCACTCGAGCCACACCTCGGATCAACCTTCATATTGCCTTGAGACTACATCCAAGGCTACGCCTTCTAGGGTCGAACCTTGCAAGTGCCATGCATTTGCTTTCCACAGCTCGGGGCAGCGCTAACACTATGCCACCTCGAGCACATGAGGGAGACCGCCTTAACCCCCCTCTCAGCACATATAGCTTCATCCTGTGAGAGATAAGCTTCCGCTTCGTCCCTCACAGACACAAGCTCGTGAGTCTCGGCTTCTCCAGGTCGGACTCATTAACCGAGCCCGGGCTGACCCCCAGGTCACCCGGACGGCTAACCCTAAAGGTGCGCATGCAACACCCTTGCAGGTTCCTTCTTGACCCCAACTCAGACAGAGTCATGAACCAGCTCCTTCCCTTGCCGCTCTTCTGACACTAGGTAAGCACCTCGAGCTCTGGTACTCAAAGGTCTTCCCTAAGAGTACCATCTTGGGCCAGCCTCAGGTCAGTGTTGCACATGGGCCCCACAAAGGAACTCGGGGCAATGACTTGATGTCAGATAGAGGCCTCCAGCCTCCAAGGCAGAAACCCATGTTGCCTTCTGTCCTTGGACCCCACTCTCTGCTCTAACTCATAAACACGACCCTTGCATGTTCAAAGAAGGCAGGGCAGTCCAGGTCCCAGGCTCGGTTCTGGAATGAAGTCCACAGCCGTCTCAGGGTTAAGCAGACGAGAGGTCTTCAGATCCTAACTAAAGAAGCCTCCAAGGCAGTCGAGGTAGCTACCCTTGATGACCTCCTACCTCGTAACCCCTTGTTCCCTCTTCAAACTCCAGAACTTGAGTGAGTCCAATAGTATTGCTAGGTTGTCACTGCTCAGCAGCCACGGTCTCAAGATCATTGACAACCGGTCCTCACAAGATTGACATACAAGGCTCGAGTCCAGTCGAGGCAAGCTGAGCCCCTACAGACTGACTTGCCACCCATGACTCGCCGACCTCGGCAGTCTGCTCCTCCCCTTGGCTCTTACCTCCCAGTAGAGACGGTCAGTGTCATGGTGATTAATGACTTGGACGAAGCCCAAGTGGACAAAATGACCATGTTCGAGGTGATGATGGAATCCATCCTTGAAAAGATGGAACGCCTAGAAGCCTCCAGGCCCACTTCCTCTCACCATGAGATCGATTCCTCGATAAGTGAGGACACAGTTGCTAGGAAAACTCCCCCACCTGTCTCTCAAGACAGCTCTACCTCTCGTGGGGTCTCCCAAACCGACATAGATGCTATGGTAGCCCATTGCCTCAAGAACAAGGTGCCATGCATGCAAGAGGCGTCACTCTACCAGAATCCATACCCTTCGTACATTGACCAAGTACCTTTCACTCTGAATTATCAAAAGGGGAAGTTCCCCCTGTTCAACGGTACTATGTCTCCGCACCAGCATACTGCTCACTCTCAGGTGGCCTGTCAAGAGACGGCAACTAACAGACAACTCTTCCTCCACCAGTTCGTCGAGACTCTTGAAGGGCCAGCCTTCTAGTGGTATGCTCGGCTGAATCCAAACGCGATACACACATGGCAAGAGATGGAGCAGTTGTTTGACCAATGCTTTTATGAAGTCCAAAGGAACATGAAGACCATCGAACTCCTCACCCTGATGCATAACCCTGGTGTGCCAGTTGACAAGTTCATCACCCGATGGAGAGAGTTGGCAACCTTCCACGCCACTCCCATGACTGAGAAGGAATCGGTCCAGACCTGCATAT